CAGCAGCATGTCCCTTTCCATTCTCCACTTGCTGCTGCTGTCGCTGTCCCTGTCCCCAGGTGATCTGGTTGGGAGGAGAAAGGGTGCTCCAGCACTACTCCAGGTGAGAACAGCAATGGCAGAGGATGGGGTCCTCCTGTCTGCCTGGTCTCCCCATGCATTTCCTGTAGGCTTGGGAGCAAATGCAGTGCAGGGGAACTTGCCTACCATTCCCCTGCTGAGCCCAGTTACAGCAGCTCTGGAGCTTCTCTGCACCACCCTTCCCCCCACCTCTACAACTCTACCATTTCAATTCGCAAGGGATAGTAGTGGTAGCAGTGGTTGGCTTCCCCTGTCCCATGCTTGTTCCCTGCCAACTCAGGAGCACCCAAGGGAACTGTGCAGAGAGAAAGAACCCACATGCTGCTGCCACTGTTCCCAGCTGGAGTGGGACAGGAGAGTTTTTAGATTTCATAGACATTTGGGCTGGAAGGGGCCCCAGAGGATCAACAAGTCCAGCCCCTGCCCCAGGGGCAGGAAGTCAGCAGGGATCATAGGATCCCAGCAAGATAAACATCCAATGTGTCTTGAAGGCATTCAAAGTGGGTGCTTGAACCGCCTCCGGCGGAAGTCTATTCCAAACCTTGGGGGCTCGGACAGTGAAGAAGTTCTTTCTTATGTTCAGCCTGAATCGGTCACGACGGAGTTTGTGACCGTTCGATCTTGTCATCCCTTGGGGCGCTCTGGTGAACAGACGTTCCCCCACATCCTGATGAGCACCCCTGATAAACTTATAGGTGACCACCAGATCACCCTGAGCCTGCGCTTTTCCAGGCTGAAGAGTCCCATGGCTCTCAGCCTCTCATCATAAGGTCTGTTTTCCTGACCTCTGATCATGCACATAGCTCTCCTCTGCACCCTCTCAAGCTTCTCCACATCTTTTCTGAATTGTGGAGCCCAAAACTGGAGGCAGTACTCCAGCTGCAGCCTCACCAAGGCCGAGTACAACGGGAGAATGACGTCCCAGGATTTGCTTGAGAAGCATCTATGGATGCAAGTCAGCGTTTTGCTCACTTTACTAGGCGCAGCATTACACTGAAGGCTCATGTTCATCTTGTGGTCAGTCATGACCCCCAAGTCCCTTTCGTCTGTAGTGCTAACCAGCGTAGCTCTGCTGAGCCTATAATGATGCTGCAGGTTGTTCCTCCCAAGGTGGAGATCCTTGCATTTTTCGGTGTTGAATACCATCAGGTTCTTGTCTGCGCATTTCATGAGCCTGTCAAGGTCAGCCTGGATCGCCCTCCTGTCCTCGGGTGTGGATGCTTTTCCCGGGTTGGGTGTCATCAGCAAACTTGGCCAGTCTGCTTCTGACACCAATGTCCACATCATTGATGAAGATGTTAAATAGTATAGCCCCTAGATCAGAGCCTTGAGGGACCCCAGTGGTCACAGCTCACCAAGAAGATTGGCTCCCATCGACCACCACCCTCTGGGTCCTACTGCAGAGCCAATTCCCCAGCTAGTGGATCGTAGTGAGGTTGAGGCTGCAGCTAGCCAGTTTAGCCAAGAGGTGATCGTGGGATACCAGATCGAAGGCTTTTTTAAAGTCGAGATGTACAATGTCGATCTCTTCCCCCTTGTCCAGGTGATATGTCACCTGGTCATGAAAGGAAATGAGATTGTTGCCGGTAGGTCTTGCTTGACCAAACCCATGCTGGGTATTCCTCAGGATATTGCCTTCAGCTAGTCTGTTAAGGATGGCCTCTTTAATCTTTTCCAAGACCTTCCCCAGGATAGAGGTCAGGCTGATGGGCCTGTAGTTTGCTGGATCTACTTTCCTCCCTGTCTTAAAGATAGGCATGACATTGGCCCTCTTCCAGTCTTCAGGCACTTAACCAGAGCGCCAAGAGTTCTCAAAGATCCGTGCCAGCGGCTGAGCTATTAAGCTTGCCAGCTCCCTGAGCACCCTTGGGTGTAACCCATCAGGGCTGGCTGACTTGAAGGTATCCAGCCTCTGTGTGTTCCTTCACAAGGTCAGCTTTGATGAAGGGCAAGGAATCTCCCTCACCTGGACCTCCCTGACCCATAGTGGACAGGGCCATCCCATGGGACTGGTGAAAAACTGACACAAAGTACCCATTTAGCAAGTTCGCTTTTTCCTGGGCATTGGGTGTCAGTTGCCCCATCTGGTTTAGCAGGGGTCTATCGTTGCCCTTGCTTTTCCTCCGGCTCCCCACATATCTAACAAAAGAAATTTTATTGTCCTTGATATTTATAGCTAGCTGGAGCTCCGTCAAAGCCTTGGCTTTCCTGGTTTGCTCTCTGCAGGTCCAGACCAGAGCAAAGTGTTCCTCCTTGGTGGTGGTTCCAGTCCTCCATCCTTTGTAGGTCTTCCTTTTTAAGATGCAGGAGGTCCGCCAGTTCCCTGGAGATCCAAGGGCGTTGCTGTTCCCTTTTGCTGCCTTTCCTCCGAGATGGGATGGACTTTGCTTGTGCATCCAGGATCACTCCTTTGAGGAGCAACCACTCGTCCTGAACTCCTCTCTCCTTTGGGTTATGGCCTTTTAGGGCCTCTCTGACAAGCCTCCTTAGCTTGTCAAGGTCTTGACCCTGGGTAAGGGCTCTGTAGTAGACTCTCATCATTGTGTCCCCTGTGCCGTGTTCCACACGGATTTTAACCCAGAGGGTCTCAAGTTGTCCACCATGGGTGCCAATGTCAGCTTGCAGGGACACGTAGCTTTCCTTGACATAGAGAGCTATGCCCCCGCCCCTTTTGTCCACTCGATCCCTCCTGTACAGGGTATAGCTGTCTATACCTGTGGCCCAGTCATGGGTGGAGTCCCACCAGGTCTCCGTTATCCCAGTGACATCATAGTTATTTACATTTAGCAGGAGGACAAGTTCCTCCTGTTTATTCCCCAAGCTCCTAGAATTTATGTATAGGCACGCAAGTGTCCCCTTGGGGGCCCTTGCCCTGCCTACATTTTGTTCCAGGGTTGGGGCTGGGGTGGAATCCTTTAAGTGCCTTGGCCTGCTGACTTTGCAAGGGTTGCTCAGCGGGCCAGCAGTGGCAGTAGTCCCCCCACCATCCCTTCCCAGCAGTTCACTGCCTCTCTCTCCAAAGAGCGGACTGTGGTCATGGAAGCCAAAGCCTTCCCGATGACACCAGCGCCGCAGTCTTTGGTGTACTACCTGGATCCTCCTCTCCCTCCTCAGCCTGTAGCCTGAGACTGGGAGGATCGAAGAAAACACCAATTGTGCCCCCAGACCCTTAAGCCCCACTCCCAAATCCTGAGGGAGCTGGCAACTTAGCAGGCTCTGCTGGGCCTGCAAGAAGTTCGTACCTTTTGCGAAGCTCCAGCAGGGCAGGGGCCTTGGTGTGGCTGGCCTTGGGGCCCTTTGCCACCTTGGTCCAACCCCTGGGCTGGACAGTAAGGGAGGTCCCTGAATCCTCCCTTGTCCTGGAGGGAAACCGTTGTCTACCCTCTGTCCCCCGGGGGAAAAGGGCCTGGCAGTAGGAGTCTATCTCCTGCTCACAGTCCCTGATGGCACGCAGTCTCTGGACTGCAGCCTGGGTCTCCTCCAGCTGGCGCGCCAGAGACTCCAGTAGGGAGCAGACCCCACAAGGGGAGGTAGCCATGCTCCCGGGCCCCAGAGCCTGAAAAAGTGATAGGCAGCCGAGAGCCAGAGGCTCCGTCTGCATGGAGCCCGGAGCCATGGGCTCCATCTGGGTGGCAGTCTCCGAGGTGCCGGGGGTGGGGGCCGCAGACCCCGAGGGGACCCTCAGGGTGTGGTGTGTGCCCATCCGTGTTATGCCGCTGGTGGGCTGGCTACATCTGGGACTGGCTTCCCTAGGGGGCTCAGAGGCAGGGCCTCGGGCCCTCCTGCACGAACTCCTGCGCTAACTCGTGCGCTGGGCCTAGAAGCACGCCTCTTTGCACGTCCTGTTCACGAGGCTCTGGTCGCGTGGCTCCCTGGGGGGCTGTTGCGAAGTAGGAGCCCGGGATTTTTGGGGGAGGGCCTGACCCTCCTTGGTCCAATTAGCCCTCTCCCAGCTGTCTAGGTCCCTCCCTCCATGGGCCCCTGCTTACCTGCGGGGGTCCTGGGGTCACTGCTGGGGTCCCTAGGCTCACGGGGGCGCAGAGGGCTTACAGCCACACATCTCGCAGTGGAGCTGGGAAAGCCCTCTCTAGGATTCTACAAGATCTGGGAACAGCAGCAGCGGTGGGCTAGGGGTGGGAATGTGTTGCGTGGAGGGAAAAGGAGGGGACGCTGAGAGAGTGGCAAGGAGTATGGTTCTTTCCTGCTTTGGGGGTTTGACATTCCTGTTGCTGCTCCCACTGTTATGGTCTGCGTTACCCAGTTGCAGGAGAACCTGGGAGCGGGGGGTGTAGCTACACCTGCAGTGGCAGTCACTGTATCTATACCTCCCTTTACAAAATCCTTAATCTGCCCATGGAGAGAGATAACATAGACCTATATGCTGGGATAACTTTGCTCAGTCTGGTGTAGGCTTACCCCCTGAAGCCATCAGAGGTATACTTACTGGTATAAGCTTACACTTTTTTTGGTCCATATCCATATTATGGTAACTGCTAAACAAGCCATTATCATCTTTTCCTGCTGTTTAGTGGTGAGGCGCTCTAATAATTATCTACCGAGTGAGCTTTCCTGTCATGAAGCACATCTGTTCATTCCTAATTCCAATGGCATTTACATTGGTATACAAACTGATGTACATTCCTCCAGGTTATATTTAGGTTCAGGTCCTTATATAATTTATTAGAACAGGTAATCTGGTATAGGGGGTTGTCTATTGTATATATGAAAATACACTTTTCCTCTCACAAAAAAATAGTACATGTTTTTCACAGTGCAGGTGGAACCTTACCAACTGCTGATATCTCAGCATGTCCTTTTGAGATATTTTTATATCTCAAAATGACATGCTGACTTGGTTGTTTAAAAAAAGTATGTCTTTTTAATAATGCAACATGAATATATTAATGATCATAGGAAAGTTGGGCTGCAGCGACTTCATGAGGTCATGTAGTCCAGCGCCCTGCTTGGGATAGGATCATCCTGGACTAAGTTATCCCAGCCAAGTGTATATTTAATCTGCCTTTGAAAATTTCCAGGGATGAAATTTCCACAGCTTTTCTAGGTAGCCTTTTCAAAATGTTCAACCTTCATAGTCTTTCTAATCTCTGGCCTAAATTGTTCTCTGCTGAAGCTTGAGGCCTTTGCTTCTAGTCCTGTCCCCTGCAGTCTCAGAGAAGTCTATTGCCATCCTTTTGATAATTGCCCTTTAGGCATTTTTAGTCTCTTCTTTACACTAAATAACCCTAATTTTTTTTCAGCCTTTCCCCATAAGTTATGCTTCTCTAGCCTCTAATAATTTTTGTTGCTGTCTGCTGTTTTTTTTTTCTAATCTGTCCACATCTTTCTTGAAGTGTGGGGTCCAAAACTAGACACAGTGCTCCAGGCGTGACCTCCACTAGTGCTGAATAGAGCAGAAGAATAGCTTCCCTGAATTTGCGAGACACGCTTCTGTTTAGTAAAACCCAGTATGCTGTTGGGCTTTTTGCAACACGAGCATATTGATGGGTAGTATACACTATATAACCCCTAGGTTCTTCTCTGCAGTTCTGCAGCCTAGCCAATTCTTCTTCAGCCTGTATTTTACATTTTACTTCGCCTCAAGTTTCCATGCATTAGTGACAAACATAATAAATCAAAAGGCATTTATTTTAAGAAGTGAGCCTTTCCACATACCAGCCATTTGTCTTTTTCAAAATCAATTGATACAAATAATACATTTTCATATCTTTTTAACAGCCTGCAAAAAGTACTGGGTCTGGATTCTCTGGATGAAGTGTTGGACACGCAGCTTGTGAACCCAAAGCACATCCTTCACAATGTGTACAACATCAGTAAGCAGGGCATTGTCATTTTAGAAGATAAATCAAGTGAGTGACATCAGAGTTTTTGTTGTGTTTATATGTCTTCCCACGTTGAGCTTGGATTTTTTTAATGTTGTTGTTTTTTTTCTTTTAAGTATGTCTTGTCTATTTTGGCGTCAGTTACTACTTGCTTATGCTAGAAAGCTTTGATGCTTTAACTCAGAGGTTCCCAAACTCTGACAGATTGCATACCACCAGTTTAAAACTTAAGCCTTAAGTATCACCAGCAAATTTTTCATGCAGATAGGTGTTGCCCTGTGGGGTCAGGCCAACTCTCAGGAGCTCAATATTGCGCTGTTAGACAGGAGGGTGTGACACAATTGCACATATACAAACACACAAATCAATTGGATGCACACGCGCGTGCACCCCC